TCCAAGCATTGCAAGTGTGCGCAAAGAGAATTAGTGTGCGTATGGGATAGAGAACAGACAAATGAGAAGCAAAAGAATCTCCAGTATTCAGGCCCCGTGGGCTCAAGCAACAAGCTTGCAGCTCGTTTCAAGTGAATATTTGAGCCGCAGCAAGGGCACACCCCTGATGGTACGGACCCAGGCTACCTACTTTTAGAGGGGCATGAACATCCTTGAGATCACGAAGTGTGACTTTAAGCTTACATTTCATATATAGAAATCAGTAATCGTATAACTCGAAAATGTTTAAGGTCGACCTCCGAGTGCTTTCATTCGACGTGCCACCTCAGGAAATTCTCAGTCGTGACTCTGTAACCGTATCTGTAGAAGCTGTCATTTATTTCCGAGTTTCAAATCCGGTTAGTCATAGAACTTACAGGGCAAGGTTTGCACCGTGTAATGCATAGATCTCTCTGTCCAGAGGAATTCGCTTGATCTAAAGTGAATAAGAGTTCAGTTAATGGAACGATTAAGGTATATTCCATGAAGGTCGCTTGGGCGGAGCTACGTAGGCCATTCAGTAGTGGAGAACGCGAGCGATGCTCTCTTCGAAGGTTGTGTTCATAATTTGCGATTCAGGGGAATCAGCGCTTTCGGAGAATCGGCGTTTTTAGCGCCGATCGATAACTGCAGTCACAAGAAAAAAAAACTTGGAGCATGCAAACATGCCAAAATCGCACGTTTTTTTTCGCACTTGTGCCTGGCTTTTCAAACTGCATATAAACCTTTTTTTGCTCATTTTAATATCGCTAGGGTATACTCTTTTCGATATTTTTTATTCATTTTTTCGTTTATCCTTTTCGTTCATACCGGCTATTCTTTAAAGCGTCGATTCTCTTGAAACGCCAGGTTGATACCCGTACTTTCCCTTTTGCGCACTTTTGAAACGAGTATGAGCAAAGTACACTTCATATCTCGAATATGGCGAGGGTGTGGCTGCGTACTTCATCAGGACATGGCGGTGCATAAGCTTTTGTAGAATATTTCCATTTGGAATAACTGTCATCCTGTCATGTTCCAGACAACAGCATGACCTACAATTGTTCCGAAACTGTAACATTTGCACCGTTGTTATTGTGCACCCCGACCAAAAGAACGAAGCACGCAATCACGCCCTTTCCATCTTCGGGAGATGGAGTGTATGAACGCCGCCTAAGATCAAAAAAAGGGGCACTACTAGGGGATATGGGAGGTGGACAAGCTGAAAATTACTCCGACCGCACCATCACTGTGGAATGTGCGCCTAACGGAAATTCCATCAGGTTTTTTTTCGTCTGACAACTGGCTTAGTGAACATGCTTCTCGATCACTGCACAACGAGAGATTTATGAACTGCACCGAAACCTTTGTTAGCTTTTTGCCTTACTCTTTGTTACCATGTCTTACTTGCCAAATACAGATTATTGATTTCAGGTAATATCGGTGACGAATGTGAATGATGCTCAGTTCAGTACACGTCTTCTTGCTCAGACCACACTTCGAAATGTTTTAGGAACAAAAACACTTAGCGAGATGCTCTCTGAACGTGATGCTATAGCAAGTGTAAGTAACTCGTTAGTTATGCTATTGAACGACCATTACGAATGTTGCTTTGAGAATCATAGTTTATGTTGGTGATACATCAACAACAGCTGACACGTCACGGACATGATCCCCGTTTGTAAACCCCTAACTCATCAACACATCATGTTGAACAAGAACAAGTCGCTATTGATTGGTCTCATACCAAATAGTAATGATTTTTTTCAAAGGGCTACAGTTCAACCGATTGTCTTCCGACAGTAACTATCTCCTAGCCTATGGACCGTGAGAGAGACGGAGGGGGGGGGAGTAGTCAGAGGGGGTGGCCTAGCGAAAAGAGAAAGTGTAGAGAATTTAGAAGTTGTTTTATGATGATAATTGCTGTTTCACGCCGCAGTTCGCGCTCCGAAAGTTATCACAAGAATGCTGAGTTATGGGCAAAAGTCTGACCAGCCGGACTCGAACTCGCACCTCACGCTTTCCGCCCGGCTGTAACGCCCTCTCCGGTACCGCTACGAGGACCCGCCTCTTACCCTCCCGGTCTCTCCTCCAAGCCTGGCTGGTCTTGGCGGGAATCGACCCGGGATTTGAACCCAGCATCGCGCGAATGGCAAGCGTAGCACTTGCTGCTACACCATCTCCGCCCTAAAAATTGCATACAACCGTAAATAGCAAACTTGCTGCGCCGTGAATTATGGGGGAAGTGTGGTGAAAGCGGCTTCAACCACTTCTGAGATGAGAAGAATCAGCAATCAAGCAAACGAGCAACAAAATCAACGAGCAACAACAAAGGCTCCCTCTCCCTGTGAACAAACTTGACCCTTCCCTATAAAGATCCCACAAGATGAACACTCTGAGGGAAAGGAATAAAGATCGGATAGTCACAGTGGAGCGATTTTTAAAGAGATTCTGGGCGATTCTAGAGGTACAGTGATTTTTTCTGGAACAGCTTCCTTCCCGTTCGCGAACTCTATTTCTCCTTTTCGAAAACTATACAGTCGTTTCTATCTCAAGCCTTCATTGAGAAGTACTCGGTTTTGTTTTAACAAGTTCGTCTTTCCCTCTCTTATTTGAGCCCTCAACAACAAACTCATCTTTACCTCCATTGTTTGATCCCACTATTTTCAGATAACGGAGAAAGTGCTCGATGAAGGTACAGATCCGTGGGGAGTGAAGGTAAGCTATGAGCAATCTCTTCAAGGCTATACAGACATTCCATCATTCTCGCCATCCATTTCCGTTCATTTATTCTCCCATCCATTTTCAGGTGGAACGTGTCGAAATTAAAGACATTCGTCTACCCCATATGCTAATGCGAAGTATGGCAGCCGAAGCGGAAGCTGTCCGTCGAGCCCGAGCTGCTGTTATTCATGCTGAAGGCGAAAAAAACGCTTCTCGGTTGGTGTACATTAATAACATCCCGGAAACTCCTGATGATAGGGAACGATACTGGATAATAGTAAAAGCTGAGAACATGATAAACGATAATAGTTAATGGTATGACGGGTAAATATTTGTAGGTTGACGCACTCCACCTAGCACCTTTGAGCATAAAGTACATCGCATATTCTGAAGATGGAGAGGGCGTGGCTGCGTGACTCACTTTAAACGCGGTGGCGACTGCGCTTCAGTGATACGTTTCGAGACATTGTTAATGATGTCTTTGCCCGGCTTAAGACAGTGGGATGATTGTCTAAAATAGAAACATCCTACGGTAAAGAGTCCTACGCCAGGTTCATTTGAGGCGTGCAGCCACGCCCACACAATGTCCCAGAACAATCCAGCTCTTCTGATCTAAAAGGGGCTCCTCTCTTGATGTTCCATTGTTTCTTTCAGGTGGATGTCAGAAGCAGCTGATATTATCAGCGGAAACAGAATCGGGGTTCAACTTCGATATCTTCAAACGCTTCATTCAATTGCTCACCAGAGGTTCGTTTTTGGCTACACAGCCATCGCAATCTTTTCTTTCTATTCACATTTTGTTCCTTTTCTGTTTTTTTTTCCAACTACTCACGAAAGGGCGCTGAAATTGGGAAAACCAATGTGTACCCAGGTAGTAGAACCATGAATGAAGAGAACACTTGCCACAAAACAATTTAGTAAGCATGTAGGCTGCGAGAAGAACTACTTGAAGCAGTCAGAACCGAGGCATCTTCTTTGGCACTACTAGAAAGAAGTTTTTTCCACGTTTTCCCCACTGCACAAATACAGGAAGTCTATCATTGAACTGCTGATCGTTGCTTCTGACGCAACGGCATTACTAAGACTTGTTCTAGAAGCTTTCAATCTATCATGAACTGGGGCAAAGGGAGCTTGAGAGGCGCAATAATACAAATCTGCCACACCATTTGTCACCGTCTTCCCCCCCCCCCGCAACCCTTATTGGAAGCCTGGGGGGGGGCTGTAGCATATGTGAAACAAGAAAATCTGTCCTATGAACCTACCAG